CCTTTGAAGGTGCCCTTTTTCCCAGAAAGTGCCCTTTTTTGTTGGTGCCCCCCCCCACTTTGGAAGTTGCTCCGCCGCCTCTGATGTTATATGTTATATAAAAACGGCGCGGTAAAAAAGAAGAAGAAAAATAGCTGCGATCAATCGTTTACCCATGTACCATTTTTTGTGTGCATGTGTCACCTTCAATGACACCTCCACTCAAATACACTGTACCAATTTTTTTTTTCTTTAATAAAATCATCTTTATTCAATATTGCTTTCGACTTTACAAAACATAAAAAAACATATATGAATATACAAACATAATATAACCAATAGAATCAACATCAAGAATATAGCTGATTATACAAGATAATATATATATATTTTTTTTTAAAGCAACACAATGTTTTTCCACCTATTATCAAATGATACAAATTTGTTATTTTTAACATAAATGTATTGTTCAAGAGAACGATAATACCTTAACATGCATTTAAAAGAATTTAGTGAGAGTACGATATTTTTGCATTTGTTGGAAAATATATAGTATTTGGCATATAAAATAACAAAATTAAATTGAACTCTAACGTTCCCATAAAACCCAAATATGAAATTAATTTTATTCAAATTAACTTTATCCTCTAATATGAAATGTTGGACATCCGCAATAAACCTTCCAATGATTGGGCAATCCCTAAATAAATGCTCTATAGATTCCACGGAGCTATAAAAAAATGAACATAGGTCTGATTGCGAAATATTTAATATTTTAAGTTATTTATTAACACCAAGTATACGGTGTATTATCTTAAACTGAAAATAACGGATCCGTGTAGATAAACATGACCTAACAGGAACTAAGAATTTTTTACCCCAGTCTATGTTTTGTATATGTACCAAATTTACCAGTGGCACCGAATGCAGAAGTTAATGGCCCGAATTCACAAAGGAGGTTTGTCGACAAACCTTGGTTTTCGTGCGTCATATGACGCGTTTTACGCGTTTTACAAACCAGGTTTGTAAAAAAACGCGTCAAATCGCGTCATATGACGTACATAAACCTCGGTTTGTCGACAAACCTCTTTTGTGAATTCGGGCCATAGAGTTGGGATTTCTTCATAGGGTTGTGTGACCACGTGTGCGGAGGATCCTCATTGTATTTATTTATTTCCATGTATGGGCGAAACACCTTAGTCAGCACGGCATAGGGGTCCAATTAATATACATAGCATGTTTTTTTACAAAAGAATCAAAACAATAAATCAAATACACCTAAATAAATAAAAATACATTGCACATCCAAATACAATGGAATGTACCATTAAATCAAATAGACAATAAGTATATTCACACCTCACCCACCCACCTAGAAAATTATACATCATATGAACAGGGCCCTACCCTATTCCAGTACATTGTCTTGAAAATTGCCTCACATTCAACAAAAAATCATTCTGAATTGAGTTTTTGTTTAAATAGTTCAATTGATGAACTCAAAGTAATATCATCAAAACTGTCCATAATTGTCCTCCTCTAACATTAATTTGCCTTTAGCCGTAATTTGTTTTGGGTCTATTTTTCATAAGCTGTTCACCATGCAGTTCTTGTTAAATATCATGACACATGTCTCTTAAAAATATTACTTCTATAAATAGGACAATTAATATGTATAGCTCGAAACACAGTATGAGCTGACTGTTTGATCCTATGGAGGTTAGTTTGTTCAAAGAGTGCTACAGTTGGGTACATATAATTAACTCGAAGGGCTACTCTCAAAAAGTGATTTGTAATTCAAAATTCAAATTCAAAGTTTATTCAACACTCTTCATAAAAACATTTAAAACATACAGGTGTATTTTGATTCTTACCTTTTTATCCGGTAATTTTTTTTCTCAATAATTTCCAAATGTCTGTGGTACATTTATTGGCTGTTTCAATTTTAATCATAATAAACTGTTTCTTTGCCTGACGAACGAATTCTGTCACATGGTTTCTTGCTTCTTGATAGTTCTTCCAATATATATATTTTTTGGTGTGTTTAGCTTTCCTTTTTATTATTATCTCTTTCTTTAATTAATTCCAAACTATCAGGGGTCATCCAAGGAGAGTCTCACCGTTTCACTCTAATTCTACATAGGGATCATGCTTATCAATGAGTACATTTAAAATAGATATAAACTTAAAATATGTCTCTTGTGGGACATTAGACTCCGATGAAATATTGGCGAGATCTCTTTGAAAGTTTTGAAGATTAAATTTTTTATAATTTCTAACAATGTTCAAACTATGAACGTTTCATTTCCATTATGAGTTTTACGAAAAACATTAATTAAATAATGACATGACAATGATATTTCTATAACAACAGAAGAACACAAAATTAGAGGTTCATTCGTGAATAAAAAAATCAACCATAGTGGAAGACTTATCAGTGACCCTAGTAGGGTCAGAAATAAGTTGAGGACAGGAGAACGACTCAATAATATAAAATTAGATGAAATTAGATTTAAAACATCGAGGCTATCTTTTCGGAGACATCTTTCCACCTACCTTCTATGTAAATGACGTGGGCTCAATCCCACCCCCTTTTATTCTACTTATCTTCCTTTTATATATGTATACACTTGCTTGTTAACGATTATAGCTGCCTTAAGCTTTTAAAGGATTTGTGCATGTACGCACATCTGTATGATATTATTTTCATTAATACACCCTTTTCATTTTTATGAACACATTGATGATTTTATTTGTTCAAAGATTTGTCTTCTTTCATTATAATGCTTTAACACTAAAACTATTTTCTTTTTCTTTTTTCATTTTAGTATGTACAAAAGTTACATAAACTGTATTATTTTGTTGTATATATGTAAATACAAAACAAACAAGTTTTACATTCATATGTATAAACAAATTAACAGAAAAAAAATCTTGCCAAAGAATGGAACTAGGCTCGACTAGCACTTGTGCTAACTTCTAGTTCCCATTAACAACTTCACCTAAATATAGTAATACACATATCTACGTAATAGTATGCAGATGTATGTCTAACTATCGTATTTAAACCATTACTGTTTAATCAACATTACTCTTATGTTATATATACATGTACATGTATCAGTATTATTTTTTGCATTGTATGATTGTACTGTCATTATTGTGATGTGTTGTTGTTAATAAATTCAAATTCAAATTCAAATAAGAGTTTCTTTGTTTGCCATGACTTGTTAGTGGCAGCAATATCACAATTTAAATCCCAGGTAAGCACGTAGTCAACACTAAGATCATACATTTTACCCATTATGTGTTCAAATTTCTGAAAACATTCAAGAGGTGAATTTGGGGGCCTATACCAACATACAATTAATAGTGGTTTTTGGTTAAGGCCCGGTCACACAGCCCTCCACGGGCGTATCGCGGCCGAATCACGGCCAAAAATTTCTGCCCGTGAAGCAGACGCTGTTGGACGCTTTGAGGTCGCGATAAAGACGCGATACAGCCGTACTTTACCCGTCGTTACACGCGGTAAGAAATTCACACGCGGTTGGCCGCGCGAAAAAGTTTTGGGCTGCCCAAAAATTTAGACCGCGGGTAATCGCGGGCGGTACACGTGGTACACACGCGGTAAAGACGCGGTACAGACGCGGAAGGACGTGCTACGGCCGCGGTTAAGACGTGGTTACACGCGGAGTTGGACGCGAAATTTTAGCGGGTAATCGCGGGTGGAGCACGGTCATAGCACGTTTGTTCCGCGTCTGTACCGTGTTGTTATCACGTGCATTAGCGTGCGTACCGCGTGTAAGCGTGGTAGGCCGCGGTACCGCCGCGCTTCACCCGCGATAAGGACGCGGAACAGTCGCCGGCGTCTGTTTCGCGGGCATACCACGGGTAAACCGCGGGTAAGCCAATTTTGCACATTTTCCACCACGGGCAACCGCGGGCAAAAAAAAAAAAATCGCGAAATTTTACCCGCGATACAGACGCGAAAGGCTGTGTGACCGGGCCTCTAACACGAATGATTTACCATTGATATAATGTTCCAAGGCCCGGTCACACAGCCTTTCGCGTCTGTATCGCGGGTAAAATTTCGCGATTTTTTTTTTGCCCGCGGTTGCCCGTGGTGGAAAATGTGCAAAATTGGCTAACCCGCGGTTTACCGTGGTATGCCCGCGGAACAGACGCCGGCGACTGTTCCGCGTCCTTATCGCGGGTGAAGCGCGGCGGTACCGCAGCCTACCACGCTTACACGCGGTACACACGCTAATGCACGTGATAACAACACGGTACAGACGCGGAACAAACGTGCTATGACCGTGCTCCACCCGCGATTACCCGCTAAAATTTCGCGTCCAATTCCGCGTGTAACCACGTCTTAACCGCGGCCGTAGCACGTTCGTTCCGCGTCTGTACCGCGTCTTTACCGCGTGTGTACCACGTGTACCACGTGTTCCGCCAGCGATTACCCGCGGTCTAAATTTTTGGGCAGCCCAAAACTTTTTCGCGCGGCCAACCGCGTGTGAATTTCTTACCGCGTGTAACGACGGGTAAAGTACGGCTGTATCGCGTCTTTATCGCGACCTCAAAGCGTCCAACAGCGTCTGCTTCACGGGCAGAAATTTTTGGCCGTGATTCGGCCGCGATACGCCCGTGGAGGGCTGTGTGACCGGGCCTTAAGTGATTGAACGTAGAGTTAAGGCTGTCCTGGTATACTAATAATGTATGTTTTAGCTTAAAGCAGTGGCGGATCCAGGGAGGGGGGGGGGCGGGGTGTAAAAACACGTTAATGTTACCCTTTTTTGGAGATAGGGCCCCCCTGGCGCTCAAGATGGGGGGGGGGGGGGGGGGGGGTGCGATTTTTCAAATTTTCGAGGAACTCCCAAAAAATGTGCTCCCAAACCTCCCCCCCCCCCCCCCAACCCCCCACTGAGCGAATTTTCTGCCGGCGCGATTCTCAAATTTTGGGAGAGCAAAAAAAAAAAAAAAAAAAAAAAAAAAAATTAGTGTTCACTACCCCCCCCCCCCATTAAGCGAATTTTCGGCAGGCGCGATTTTCAACTTTTCGGGTGAAAAAAAAATGGGCCCCCTCCCCTAAGAAATCCTGGATCCGCGCCTGGCTTAAAGCAAAGTTTCTCATTGCTGTCCTCCCTCTTGAATTGTTTGCAAAGGTTGACAAATATTTCCGGTGATAATCGATCCCAGATTCCTGGGTCCCTGCATACATTTTAAGAAGGGTGAGGGGAATGGGGAATGGGAACTCTGATTTAATAAGGTACGCAGTACAAGGCCATGATTATTTTGTTTAGCATGAATGATTTCATCAATTAATATCTCTAAATCGGTATTTGACGCCAAATCCTCCCTTGTCACAAATTTAATACCTGATTTTAAAAATCTATACCACCACCATAGCGGTTACGATCACGCCTGAGTAATGTATAACCAGAATAAAAATGTCAGCATCATCAATATTATCACTCAAGTGTGTCCCGCTGAGTGTCAAGACATTCAAATCTAAATCATGGACAGTAAGAATCAATTCATCAATTTGTTTAGTTAGAGACAAACAATTCAAATGAGCTATTTTAAGACTTTTTTTCCAAAGACAGAGATACATTTGGACGTGCATCTTCAGAGCGTTGATTAAAATTTATTTTTACGAAATGCGTAGAGATATTCAAATCACTATCTGTAACTAACAAATAATCATCAATGCAATATTGATTGGGTAATTCTTTAAATAGGCACAAAAATTACATGTCCAGTACTTGTCGGATTGGAACAATGGGAGAGGAAACATTAGAACAATTCAAATGACTCAATGACTTACATTTATACAATTTAAATTGGTGACTGTGTCTCGTTCATCTCTTCACCTGCTTTGTGGTAGTCGATATCGGAGTACTTCGAACTATTCACGACGTGACTTTTTATTCTTGGTGCAGCTTCCCTGTGATCATAAAAAAGAGAAAGCACCATGAGTATCGTATACTAGGTACAAAGTTTGTCTTATGATGAAATCACGCACTAAAACTAATCCCAAGGTTATCATTAATATTATGAACGTATGAGTCATTTTGTTTAGTAACAAGTCGCGAATGTTACGAAAACATATCTTCTTCTCATCAAATGCATTTTTCGTAACTTTACAAAGAAGACATTGACCTTTTACTGATGCTTATTAAACTTGATGCTGACTTTTAAGAAACCGGGGTTTCTGAAGGTCTGAAATGATTGTTTTTTTAAATCACATTGCTTAAGATGTTGTATTTTCCCGCTCCCAGGCCTTAACTTGATACCAGGGAGGGAGGGGGCAGTGGCTTTGGTATTTTAGGGGGGGGGGTATTGAATTTTATGTTTTCAATTTGATTAATTTACTCGAGGGAAGAGTTTTTAGGACACAATTTCGGAGTACGATTTTAGAGGGACACTGCTGACGTCCTTCAGTTTTTCTTTCCAAGTAAGACGGGCTTTATGTGACTTTTAAGATGCATCATTGGCAACCTTTTCACATCAAAAGGGTCCATTTGAGATTTCTTGACAATAATGTCATCTCGCACGATTAAAAAAACAATTATGATTTCTGAATCATAGACAAAACATTAGATTCTCTGTGACGATCATCCGCAGATATTAAATGAACAAAGCCAATGAATTTTTAAAATCCTACCATCCGATGTTTTCTCCCTCTTCTATCGTTTCTGGTATCTTTTTGCCTCTGGTTTCTGGAAGGAAGTAGGAAGTTCCTGCCCCGATGAAAGCAAAGCAGCCAAAAATGACGGGAGGAAACGGATTCCAGATTTTGGAAAGGAGCAGGATCAGTGGGGCTAAAATGTTGGACATGTTTGAGCAGAGGGTACACATGCCAAGAGCAGAAACCCTGGAAGATAAAGATTCCAAGCGAATCAATAACAGAAAGAAAAAAATATAACAAACAAGTATTTCAATGTTAACGAAGCTATTTTTGTAATTACAATTAAGGACATGCACATTAAACATGTATTTCATAAATAAAGGAGTTCGATGTTCCTTGAAAGTGACTGAACGTAGAATTAAGGCTGTCCTGGTATACTAATAATGTTTGTGTAGCTTAAAGCAAAGTTCCCCATTGCTGTCCTCCCTCTTGAATTGTCTGCAAATGTTGACAATTATCTCCGGTGATAATCGATCCAAGATTCCTGGGTCCCTGCATACAATTTATGAAGGGTGACAGTAATGGGGAATGGGCGACCATTATTATCTCATTACCTTTCGCATTGTGTTATTTCCACGGGAGTTACTAAAGCAACTAATAACAAGTGGTTCTATATATATGTATATGTGTGTGTGTGGGCGTGTGTGAGTGTGCGGGTGCGTTATGACTATTACCTAACTGGAGTCGGAATAATCTCACAAGCATGGAGGTAGACAATGCAGAAGGAAGATGTGATGGCAAACTTTCCAATCATTGCTACTGCGGCTCGTCCAATACCAAACGCTGTCAAGAGACCAAAATGATAATGTGCTATTATATATTAATATATATTAAAGGAGAAGGGAAAGGACAAGAAAAGTCTACGCCTGAACCATAACCCGCCCCCTTAATCAGTACCTGATAATATTCTATTATCGGAGGAAGACCGGCGCCCCACCCCCTCCCCAATCGTTCCCATACCCCCTCATTATATAGACTCATGCTACGCCACTGGCAAGGTATTGCGTATTATAGGCTCCCAATCAAGTGACTACAATTACCTTCGATGTAAGTACGTGTTTCTTAAATTAGCAGACTTCGAATTTTGAACGTCAAGTCTAAACTATCAATTCGAGTCCTTCCGTTGTATGCCCAAGTATTGTCCTGTCAGCCCTTGCCCTTTGCAGCTCACCAGTCAGTAGGAAATATAATGCACACAGTTTTGACAACTAGGGGCCTATTATCCTAACCTATTTCAGCATGCTGGAACGCATTCGTAAAATTCGAAACGGTTATACTTATATTATGGAAACAGTTTTATGGAAACAAAGCAATAAATTATTTCCACTCCTACTTTTTAAGGTGAACAAACGGAGCATTGATGCATGAATCTTAAGGTCCATACCTGAAAATCGGTAGACTGAAATCATTTCTTCGGAAAGAGAGAGATAGAGATCAATACTACCTGAATGACGAAATTGGCAGATGACCAATTTTCTTTTGAGACGATACAAACAAAATCCTATCATTTTCATTTCAAAATTTTGTTGCTAGAACTACTAAACTTACGAATGAAAATTGTGGCTAAAATGGCGGCTCCAGATAAGGCCATAAAGAAAATGTAAACCGGTCTTCTCCCCCACTTTTCAAGTGGACGAATGACACAGAAAATAGCAGGAATCTCAACAGCACCCGCAATAGCAAAGGCAATGTATTTGTTGACTCCAAGAGAATCGGTGCTCATGGATATGCCGTAGTACACCACCGTGTTTACAGATCTGGGGGAGAAAAATGATGATAACAAAAATAATTATTAGAAGAAAAAATATACAAAAATAATAATAATAATAATAATAATGATAATAATGATAATGATAATAATGACATATCAAATACTAAAAATAACATTAATAATAATGATAAAGATATTGATTGCAATGATAATACTGATAATAATAGTAATACATATTAATGATAATAATACAAATAATAATGATAATAATAATAATAACAATAATAATTTTAAAAATGCAGTCAAATGTTACATCATCAAATCTCTTCTTAAAGGAAACCAAACCTTCATACTAAGTTACTTTTATTGTAAAGTTTAAGATATTTGAAAAATATCGGTGAAAATTTGAACAAAATCGGGCAAGGAATAAGGAAGTTAGAGTGTGTGTGTGTGTGTGTGTGTGTATTGGGTTTTTACAGACGTGTATCAATCAGATATGATTATTTACGTCTGGGACCGACCTTTAAACGTCACCTTCCGAAAGACGTGACTCAGTTTCGAACCTGCGTCCTCGGCTGAATCAGTTTGTAACTTCCACTTTTTAGCTGGATTACAGGCGCACGCCACAACGCCTAGTTGTGCTTTTTGAAATGACTAGTCACTAGAGGGCGGTATTCAATTTGATGACATCATCTGTGGACAACTCTCCATGCCTTTTGTACATCAAATTTCATGTTTTTCCTTCTTTCTTGTGATTGAGATAATCTACTCCCCTGAAAGCAAGATATAGAATGCAAAATGATATTCTACTTCACATGTTATGAAGTCGGATCAAGAACACAAATAAATACGAAGAAAACGAAAAAATTGTGAAATTTTATGTACAAAAGGCATGGAGAGTTGTCCACAGATGATGTCATCAAATTTAATACCGCCCTCTAGTGACTAGTCATTTCAAAAAGCTCTAACTTCCTTATTCCTTGCCCGATTTTGTTCAAATTTTCACTGAATTTATTCAAATCTTTTAAACTTTACAATAAAAGTAACTTAGTATGAAGGTTTTGGTTCCCTTTAAACTAACTTCATGTCAAATGCGCGTATACACACGCAAACACGCACACACATACACACACACACGCGCACGCGCACGCGCACGCACACATATGCACCCCCACACACGCCCACGCGCACATTTATGTTTGTGTATGTAATATTTGGCTCATTCAGGATTGTAGTCCTTCCTTTTTTTTGGGGGGGGGGGGGAGAAATTTATGAATTCTAAACATAATTGCTTGGATTAAAGCCGGAACATCAACCAAATTGGGCGGTGAAATAATATTACAAACATCAGACATTAGAAGGTTATGCTCGTGTCAGATTTGTTAGCCTATGTTATATTTCACTCAATCATTGAGTTATTAGTGTAAATATGTATTGAAATTATGGAAATTAAAACCTTGCTTGAGGATAAGAGGAAGAAAAAAAATGCTCATGTCAGATTATATAAACATGTATATAGGCTACGATACTTACAACTGGAACATGAGGTTTAGCGTGTAGAGACGTAAACGAGGTCTGCGTAGTAGTTCAATCAAACCCTGGTCTCCACCGCCCTCGACTTTCTACTTGAAAAAAAAAAATAACACCGAACAATTGATTTAATGATTAAATAGGGAAATGTAATTTGGTCTAGCGACAAATTCACTTAGTCAGCTTTCTGTCTTTGCCTACAAACTGGCTCAGGCAACCACGGTTCGAAACTGAGTCTCGTCTTTCGGATGGTAACGTTAAAAGTTGTTCCCTAGACGTAAATACTCATATATGATTGATACACGTCTGTAATTTTTTTTACACACACAAGTACACTTGGTCAAAAGTGATAAACGTAAGAAAAACACCGAATAAGCATACATTTTATCTAGGACCTCTCGTACTCGTACTAGTTTTGATATAACAATTCATCAAAATACCCCAATTTTACTACTGTATCAACATTACGTCCAAGATTTCCTGAGATGTGAAAAGTGAATGAGAGAGAGAGAGAGAGAAAGAGAGAGAGAGAGAGAGAGAGAGAGAGAGAGAGAAAGAGAGGGGAAGGTGGATGGGTTATACTAGAATGAACTTACCATATCCGTTTTCACATTGTCCAAGTTGAATGTCTCTTTAATTTCGGCTCCATTGACTTTGCCTAGTTTGCGCATGATCTCCGTTGCTTCCCTGACACGGCCCTTTGACAACAACCAACGTGGAGATTCAGGAGCCAGCCTTTTCAAAACATAGAAGGATTTACCAATAATTGAATTTTTTATTTTCCGATACAAGTTTAAAAGTGTTTTCACAAATACCGAAGAAGAGAAAAATATAGCATGAACAGAAACGAAACAAAAATAATAACAACACAAAAGAGAGCAAAATTAAAAAAACAAAAAACAAATGGCGTTGCTGCCTTCACATTTTATTCTGGTAAGGTCAGACTTTTAGATCTAGTTGCCTTTTTATCATGCAAGATCACCTTTTGCTGAACTAACTGAAAATACTTAACTTCTTATGAGCAGAAGTGGTCCAGTTTGATTACATTGTTCGGGAGTGTCCTGAAAAGGACTTCTCCCGTAACCTACCAGCTGTCAACAATTATCTACTTATTCTACTACTACTACTAATACTACTACTACTACTACTACTACTACTACTACTACTACTACCAATTATATATGTATCTTAACTTCTAATAAATAATATATATGGACCTAGGTTGTTTATTTCTTTTTATTATGTTAAAATACTAAAAAAACAAATCAAACAAACACACAAACTATTGTGTTTGTTTATGTTCCTACTTTTATTTTGCGCCTTGAGCGCATCATCCTACGTGGAGTTGGAGCATTATAATTACTGATTATTAATTATTGCTATTACCATCATAACATAATGATACTATTGATGATGATAATATTAATAATGATAAAAATAATAGGGTCTTATTTATCCGGGGTAGCCACACATTAGAAATACTACTCTACATGTGGGCCATAAAAATGTTATTACCCTTTTTGATAGCTTTGCCAAGTTCCCATTTATTACGCCTGGGTAAAGAGGGACAAATGTGGGCAAAACACCTTGTACAGGTATAATTGCACCATGGAAAGATCGAACCCGAGACCCTCTCGTATGGTAGTCAAAAGCATAAATTAGCAATATACGACGGTGCTCCCACACAACAACGATAATACAAAATATGTTGTCTTACACGTATATGAAGAGCAGAGCAGCAGGTAGCAAGGAAACAATCAGCTGCAGATGACGCCAGTTCCTAACGTAGAATGCTAGCAGGGATAATAACATGTAGCCTAGTGCAAAGTGGATCCATATCACATTACCAGCAATGGCTCGCTTGGAAGGACCAATCATTTCATTTGCTAAACGTAATTGAACAAAGAGATAAATAGGTTTATTGTAGGTCCATAATCATATTTCCTCTATTATTGTTAAAGATATGATTAGTTTTGGAAGCGGCCCCTCTGTGGAAGCTTTTATTACCAATCATGTGAAAGAATATGTTTTGACTAATACGTGATGATACAAATTTTGCCGGGAAACCGCCTACTAATTGATATATTTGGTAAATTATCATATCGATCTAGCTGCCTGGACAGATTTCGCGAATGCACTTCAAAATTGAACATTTAGGCACATATTTCTGCTCTGTTGCGAATTTAGGTTGATGTATTGCCATCTAAACCTCTGAAGGCAATATTTAAACAATTTTGAATGGATATTTTGTGAACAAATGTGATGCTTGGTCATGTACTCCAGTTCAGGTGTAAAAATACATATTTCGAACTGCAATTCACCCGACTATATGAGTTTGTTAAGGGTTTTACTCGAAACAGGGAGTTCTTGTTTTGTGTGTGTACTACTACTACTCCTACCACTGGTAATTGTGCGTATGCACATGAAAGTCTATAATTTGTTTTCTTGAATGGCATGAAAGAAAATCAGCAGTGAAGTTCCAAACAATGAAGAACAAAACATTACTAGTAGTAGAAGAAGAAGAAGTAGTAGTAGTAGTGGTAATAGTAACATATATTTTTGGAATTCTATTCTTGCTGCTTCTAATTCTGTCGTGATACAATTTTCGTTGTTTTCTTCATAATCAACCTCTTTATATCGCTTTGAGACTCTCTGAGTTTTATTTATAACGTAATTTCATAACTAGTACTCAATATTTGGTACCTTACCAAGTACGAAGGCTGATTGGAACATTCCAATCGTAAACGCCCCTGTGATCATTCTCAGTACCATGAACATCCAGATGTTGACGGAGAATGATAGGGCTGTTCCGCTAATTATAATGGCAGTCGTGCACGTGAACAGGGTCTGATGACGTCCATACCTTGAGACAAAATGATCAGAAAAGACATGGCTCTCTTATCAACTTTGATGGCACATTGAAATTCGGTATGTATTTTATTCATAACTTCATCGATATGTAGGATCTGTGTGGAAATGCCTTATCTGTATGTATCAACAGTAGGCCTATTAAACTCATAATGTTGCTTAGAAACATCATTGTCATTTAATTTCATGTATTTGGGTAAACAACGTTTTGAACCGGAATTGATGAAAATTACTCAAATTTTCAGGACATTTTACCATAGATGAATGATGTAGAATATAGTCTTCTTAAACATTCATAAGCTTGTAAGTGTATGCTTATAGATCATGCAGGGGGCTTCACTCAAACATTCAACTTAAAGATATGCTAACCATACCCCTATTTTAAGTAAACCATCCCATATTAAATAGATATACCAATATCAAAGTACCTTGAACTATTTCTTCAAGTTTTCTGCTGTAAAACTGTTGAAGTCAATGATACTTAAATGATGAAAGAATAGTAAGCAAGTAATTACCGTTGGTGAAGGTGATGGGACAAACTATCACTTCCGAGGCGATCTGGATGAAGCTATCTTTCCAAAGCGAAGCTGAGGAAAAATAGCGTATACATTCAGATCGCCGAGGAAGTGATAGTTTGCCATCGCCTGAAACCAAAAGGTGATTATTTGCTTTATATTCCACATCGGAAACATTTTACTTCTTCCGTCATTTTAGAGCAATAAGTCATCAATTAACAGCTAGCAAACAGTTGTATGATACGTACAGTGCATGCAGTACTAACGTACGTACACGCAACGTATCCAATCTTCAGTGAAAGTGCGTTGCACTGTGTAGATAGTACTACTATCTACACAGTGCAACGCACTTTTCTTCTTCCATCAATGATGGGCGAACTATCTTTCATCACGTGATTTACTTTTGACCAATCGTAGCGCAAGAGTCTTTGTATGTGGATAACACGTATTTACCTGATTCAATTAGGTCCATGATTAGGTAAACCGGTTGGATTTTACGCCATTGATCAATGCTATGCTTGTCCCCACAAATTCACCCTACAATGATGGACGAAATTTCTTTCATCACGTGATTTACTTTTGACCAATCGTAGCGCAAGAGTCTTTGTATGTGGATTATAACACGTATTACCCTGATTCAATTAGGTCCATGATTAGGTAAACCGGTTGAATTTTACACCATTGATCAATGCTTTGCTTGTCCCCACAAATTCACCCTACCACAGGGCACATCTCCTCAGGGTCAGAGCAAGGGTCCATGTGCGTGTGTAATTCTTCTTTTGAATGTAGGGCATATAGTTTTGATAAAGTCTTTAAATGCCACAAAAATAATCTCCCTGTGCCACATTGCAATTTTTAAGGGATATCGAATATACCAAAGGCTTTGAGATCGTTGAACTATTTCCAGTGCAACAATACTCTATACCAGTGTTAAAAAGGTTGTCATGGAGCTATTCAAGGCCGGAAAAGGGGAAATTTAGGAAAGCTGTTCTATGGCTCAAAAGCAATCCTTTCGTCAATTGGTGCCCATGTATTTGTGCAAAATTGCGCGTGTGGCAAATAAGCAATAGTGCAGAGAGGTGAAGAAAGCCATACAAATCGGTAGTGAAATTCTTACACACCTGTCAGAGAACAATCCAAACGCCAAAGACCCGGCGGCAGTACCAGCGAAGAAGAGAGATTGCGCAAGTGCAGACTGGTACCCCAATCCGCAAACTAAATTGAACTAAAAAAAGAAGAACAGAATTTAATAAGGCTCGTTCCGACATGATGCGGTAAATTGTCGCAAAAAAGAAAGAAGGAAAACAAAATAGCGGCTGTATTTAAAATGTTTATGAATGGATGACAAAAGGTTGCCGCAAGGACGATTCGCATATTCATTAAGCTCTATGTTATAACATACAGAAATGTGAAGCGTATTAAACTTGATATGTGATCATAAAAATAAAAAACGAACGAACAAGAAAATGATGCAGTTCACTGCTTTGCACTCTATAACATAATCACAAAGTTCAGGTACTTCAAACAACGTATACCGGTATGCCCGGGATGACAAAATAATGCCCGGATCTTATTTAATTTGCAGTTCTAAAATCAATAGAAGTAGACCAGCTAAACATTGATAAGGGCTGTAGGAAAAACAAACCCACGTCAATTTCGACTTCAGCAAATGATGTCACGTGCATATAAGTTTCCACAGAAAAATATAATACTTTCCTGGTTTAAATGGGAGCAGACATGATGAAAACTAGATGAATTTGTCATTTTATTGAGGTTTATACGTATAAATTCAACAAGCATTTTTTCTATTTTTAAAAACTAACTTACGTCCTGTTCCACTGTCCTCTCCTTAGTTTCTTGGTTGTCATATACCCAACCAGCATCACAAGAAAATGTGTTGGATTCCTGTAGATCAAGATCTGGACTAAAATCGGCTCCGCTTGTATTATAACGAATACAAGATGAGTATACCTTTTCCGTCTGAGAATCGTTCGAGTAGTCCCAAGGGATGCCGACTTCTCTTTTCTCTAAGGCGCATTCTCTGGAAGTATTGAACCCGTAGCTTCCACAGTCTACCGAATCCCATTCTGGTATCTTTCAATGAAAGGGATAAAACAGAAAACGCATTTTCACTGTACTTTCACTATCCTACTACTACTACTACTACTACTACTACTACTACTACTACTACTACTACTACTACTAATTCCTAATTCTACTACTACTTCAAATACTTCTGCTACTACTACTACTACTACTACTACTACTACTACTACTAATACTACTACTACTACTACTACTACTACTACTAGTAGTAGTACTACTAGCTACTACTACTACTACTACTACTACTACTACTACTACTACTACTAATTCCTAATTCTACTACTACTTCATATACTTCTGCTGCTACGACTACTACTACTACTACTACTACTACTACTACTACTAATTCCTAATTCTACTACTACTTCAAATACTTCTGCTACTACTACTACCAGGGGCGGATCCAGCCGGCGGCAAGAGGGGGGGGGCCGAAATCTTGAGAAAATATTTAGCGGCGAATCAGCCACCGGTGAACGGCAAATGATCGGGGGGGGGGGGGTTGGTAAGAGCACATATTTTTTTTTTTTTTGGGGGGGTCCAGTTTTTTGGGAAAAATTTTGCTGGTGAATAAGCGGGGGGGGGGGTGGATGCTGTAGAGGAGGAACATTTTTTTTTTTTTGGGGGGGGGGGGGGGGAGGTGAAATGTCATTTTTACATGACTTTCTTTTTAACTCTCACTTTCACCTATCCCAGATAACCCTAAGTTGTTTGTTGCTGCTTTCTATGTAGTTGATAATGCATGATTAAAATAAATAGAGAGAGAGAGAGAGAACCACCATCAGTATGCAATGGTTCAGGGTTTGTGTAATGTACATTTGAAACCATTTCTTAGCGTCTCGACCCTAAAAAAATAGCGAAACTGTTTTTGAGGAAAAGCATCATACTGAAATGCTGTTTATCATCATCATCATCATCATACTAATACTGATAAGGGCTATAGACAATGTGGTATCGGCACAGTAAGATCGGGTATTTTTATAAAGGTATTCCAAAATGACATTCTGATAATCAATATTTTGTTCTGTATTCATATGTATATACGCATAATACAACTGATCTTTATGATTTCTTAACGTGACATAGCTTCTTCTCCCCCTGCAAATAAAAAAGAAAACAAGGTTATTTAATAAAAGGATCATGCGACAAAATGATCATTGTGATTCAAATTGATGCAAGGATTTTTTTGAATAACCAATGCTTTTCACAAGAATCTTCTTTGTAAAAACGACTTTTACAAAATCTCAGCCATGCAATTCTGCCACTGTGCTGTAAGATCACTTTCAGATTAGGAGAAGTGTATTCTTTAATGAGTTTTATAAATTGAATGGAACGTCTCAACTCAGTAAGCATGGCTGAGATTTAATCACAATCATTATTTGTCGCTTAATCCCTTTTAATGACCTTGTTTTCTTTCTCGTTTGCAAGGGGAGAAGAAGCTATGTCACGTTAAAGACATCATAGAGATCAGTGTTTTATGCGTATATATTATATACACAGGCCCCGCGGAATGTTTATCAAAGTGGGGGCCTAAAGTATTTACGATCAGGTAGAGAGGGGGTAGCGAGCGAAGCGTAAATTGGTGTGGGGGCCGGTTTAGGGGCGGAGCCCCTGGAAGCTCAGGGGTTTTAGGCATTTAATTACGGTCAGAGAAGCACAAATATTTTGATGCCGCATTTTTGTCACTGGCAGGTCACAATATTTTTGTTGAATGACGTAAATCATGGTCTGAAGCAATATTTTATTCAAATGAGACACTTGCTAAAGACTAACAATTTAATGTTGACCATTTATTTTCATGAGTAAATTTTATAGGTGAAAATAAAAATTCTGTTTAAAATATAAAACAAGCGAATACCGTATCATCTCTTCCTCTCACATATTATGGCATATTTGTTTTTTAGAGCAATATATACATGATGCTGCTTGTAAGTGTCGGCTTGCATGGTGATGTAGATATACAGTAGGTTTGCGGGTGCACCATGTGTGAGAGAGAGAGAGAGGTTTGAGGAGTCCAAGAAAGATTACCGAGTCAGAGTCCTTTTCAGGACTCCTCAAACCTCTCTCTCTCTCTCACACATGGTGCACCCGCAAACCTACCGTATAATATATACATGTATAAGTAAAGCAAGTGTCGCTGAAAGTTGCGTTATTGCGTCCTGGACTCACCAAATAACCAAATCTCACGCATGAATTTTGTAAAAAGCAGTGAGTAATTGCGTCCCGTAGGACGCAACAACAATTCCTAGGTTGGTATCCGGAAGTTGGAGAAGAATCATTTTCGCATCGTATATTGCTTATAATTTCAATGATTTACACATCTATCCAATCTGTCCATATAGTGTAACAGTAACGACCCATATGCATGGGCGTAAATCTGTAATTGATACCTATTGTTCAGGGGGGATGATCTATTCATTCATCCCCCCTGAACAATAGGTATTACGTAAGGATTTACGCCCATGCCCATATGTGATCCAGCCGGCAGCATAAGAGGGGGGGGGGGGGGGGCAAATCTTGAGATTTTTTTTTTTCCTTGGGGGGGGGGTCGTTTTTTTTTTGATGGTAAAATTTACGTTACTATCCTATTTATTTTACCGGTTTGGGAGGCTAGGGGGGGGGCCTGGGCCGGTAGAATCGGCCCGTGGATCCGCGCCTGACTACTACTACTACTACTACCACTGGCATACTGGTGTATGTGTGTGTGTGTGTGTGTAGGGGGGCTGGGGCTTTTGCCCCTTCTTAATTAAACTAAAAGAAGTACCACCCCAAAGATATCAACAACAAAAAGGGAAAATAAAAGGAAAGAAGAAAAATAGGGAAAACACCGAAAGAAAAAGAAGTAGAAGGTGAATGGAAAGGGAACGAAAGAAAGTAATATTCCCCTTTTATGCCTATATAACCCATACCAAGATACAAGATACAAGATACAAGATATTTTATTTGGTCTTTGCAAACAAGTTACATAGAAAATTGTTTTCCACTGGCGTAGTTACAGTCATATTCAACAAAATACATAATTACAAGAAATAAATACATCACGTTTATAGAATGAAATAGATGAAATGAGGTACAAATACATGCAAAAGATAATGAAGCGACAAAAATGGTCATTGGTACATGTACTTCAAAACATGAGTTTCAGAATGTTATTTCAAATCATACAATTTAATTTCCGACGCAGAAGTTTAACGTTTAACCTGTGAGTTGAATTTATGAACAGAGTCGGGTACAAATGAATATCTGAATCGTGAAAGGCGGGTTGGGGTGGGGCGAAGTCGGATACCAGAACGACTTAATGAATAAAATAAATGAAGTGGATGGGTATTGTCTTTCATGATTGCACAGACCTTATCAACAATTTGCTCAGTACAATGAGACTCGACAGAAGCTAATTCTACCCTAATTATGCGTTTTGCTATTTTACGTGGCCTTTCCAATTTCTTTTTGTCCTGTTTTGAGAGATTGCCAAATGAACATATAATATTGAAAAGCAGGACACTCTTTATTATTGAATTGTAGAACAGGGTCAGGATTGTTGCATCTATATGGAAACTTTTCAACTTACGCAGAAAAAACAACCTCTTGTTAGCTTTCTTAAACACCGATTGTGTGTTATCCCTCCATGATAATTTGTCATTTAAGACAGTTCCAAGATACTTATAGTTTCCAACCTGTTCAATCGCCTCATTATGAATGATCACACTCTCGTGGTCTGTACCTTTTCGACGGAAGTCGATCACCATTTCTTTGGTTTTGGTTGTGTTTAATGTTAAGTAATGATCATCACACCAGCGAATGAATTCGTCTACCTGTGAGAAATAATCAATCGCCTGATCAGACAAAAGAGCAACAATTACGGTGTCATCAGCATATTTGAGTATGCTACAGCAAGAAGTTGAGCTTACACAATCACTTGTATATAGTGAAAACAAAACCGGGGATACCGCTAACATTCGTAACAATATGTTATTGGTTCCATCAAGTGTATACCCTAACATTTCTTTCATTTTGAATAATCTCCTTAGCCTTGCAAAACCGACCGTAAACAGAGCTCACGTTTTGCACTTTGAGGCCTATGTAAAGAGGTAAAGTCTATGTGTTTAAAAAGTTAGACCTAAGAAATAATGTATTTTTTATGATTACAGTAAACGTGTATTACAAAACTAAATGATCGAATTTTCCTAGTAAATCTTCAAAAGACCTTTCTCTCGTATCTACCAACTAACTTTATGCAGTATCATGACATTTCTTTCAACTCTGAGGGGAGACATGTATAATATGTTACGACCAGCAGGGGCAGCAAAACAGGGGAATCCTGGAAAATGCGAAAAGTCAAATTTTCTCCAGCTCTTCTTCAATTTCAAAGAGTATTTTGTGAAGAAATGTAGTGAGCGAACAAAAAGACTTAAATATAGAGTACACCATATTTCAGCTCTGAAGTGCTCTAAATATTAAAACAAAATAAAATCTGTTCGCTCGCCACTACGTTCCCTCTTACAATTAACTTTAGCTTTAACATTAAAATAGAACTGTAGAAAATTACATAGAAAGAGACTCCATTGGCTAAGGTCTAACCAGACAAATATCGGGTCTTTTCCACATAATCCGGGGACCGTTGATTTAATTGAGAGGTCTCTTCCCGAAAAAGAATGTTTAAAGGGGTCTTCCCAGATATTTGAGCGTCTAAATGATGTTTTAACGCTGCTTACCTCTAATGGACAAATACAAAGATAGGGAGTAAGCTCAGCCTTGAGATGAAAAGTGCTCAAAAATGCAAAGTTACAAAATACACAATGTGAATTTTCCTAGCTCGATCCCTACGCGGCCCCGCACAATAATATATATAATTCACTGAGGGCGTCGTTAGAAATTAAATGTTTATACAGGAAAAAGCAATTGTTTTTAATTGTGATATTGGGGGAGGGGGGGGGGGGGGGCTGGGAGGGCAGAGTACAGCCTCTAGATTCAACGGATTGATAGTATGAACGGGTATTGCAATCGTGGCGATTCTGAAAATATTGGCTCAGCCCCCTCAAAAATGTTCGCTCCTTACTGACTACCGATAAAAACCAAGGCTACTATGACTCCTTTAGTACGAGCGCTTATACTTTGACACATTTGAACCTGGATAATTCAAAAGTTACTACTGATACAAGACAAAAATTCCTCTGATTGCTGATGTTACGATTAAGAAATAGTGCGTTTTCACAATCGGTAAAATATTACCTGCTTTACGTAAGCTTTCATTTGCTATTCTGCAGGCTTCTTGAGACTTAGCTACGATAATTTTCTAAGCAAGCTTACCGATAGTTAAACAATAACTCTTTCTCAAACTTACAACTAATATAAAATATATCATATTTGAACATTTGGAAAGTTTTATTGTGGAGAATCTATGTTCAGTGATATTAAATGATAGTTTATATTTTGTTATCTAGATTCTCAATTTGTTCACTCAATCCCATAGCATCTGTACTGGATTCACCAAAACTTAATTCACACTCACCATTGCCATTATGTATTATAATTTGTACCTAATGCTCCCATCATCTTTTGTTTGCCATTGTAATACAAAATATTTGCAAAGGTAATTTTCCCTTGTGTTATGTGTTATATAATGGGCATGGCAATATAATGTACCGTGATGGTGTTATTGTATTCTTGTAAGAATAAATTCAGGTTCTGGACAATGCATGGCAAATACGAAATATGTTGTTACGCAGAGGTTCCTTTCACGAAATTTGAGCGATTTTTGTGAAAAACCTCTGCTACTATTTATTATTAGGATTATCATTCGTATGGACTTGCTGTCACTGGTATTAATGGAAACGAAAAATCATTCTTTCAAACTGAAACGGCAGGAAGCTTCTTTAAAAAAAAAAACTTAAGTATTGAAATGCTCCTATGAGAAGAGTTTTGTGTGTTTTGAATAGTGCATTAACGAGCCTGAAGCCAATCGCATATTTGACTGTAGGTAGATGCAGGGGCGGCGCAATTTTTTGTTTTGTTAGGGGGGCGACACAGGGGGTGTCTGAGGGGGGGGGGGGGGGGACGTGCCCCCTCCGAAATTGAAGATATTTTTTTAAGTGATGCATTAATGGCTCAATTTGGTGCATACTTTTTGCCAAATTAAATCTCTGATTTTTTTCAGTTAGTAAAAGGTTCTTCGTTGTCAATCAATGTTTGAGCTTCCGGTAATGTGAATGTAATAATGACGCGTCCATTTCTGATCGCCTGATTTGGCTCGCTTTTTTTCTTTTCCCTCTCCCCCACCCTCCCTTACGTCATAACTTACACTTTATAGTTCTCTTCCTCCTTGTCTTCCCCATCCTTTTTGTTTTCTTCCCCTTTTTTTTCTTTCTTTTTCTTTTCCTGTTTCTCCTTCCCTTCCTCTTCCTTTTTTGAAAATGATAGGGGCGGCCGCCCCCTGCTCCCCCTGTGGCGCTGCCCCTGTGTAGATGGCAGGTTATCACTAACTTACCAAAAATCCTCATTGAAACGCTTCTCAAACCATCAAAGTATATTCCCACTCAAAGTTTCGAGGTGGATAGGACCGATGCCATTGTAACACAAGAAGTTTGGGTCATTTTCCCCATTTATTGTAATCTGAATGGAATTTAGCCCTGGGGCTGCCATTTTCAGTATTCTAAATACACCATTCAATTCAATTCAATTCAATTCAATTTAATAAAAGAGGAATTTGTCATAAAAAAACACGTGAGTTTAAAGTGTGCCCCAAATAGGGAAAATATGCACTCCATAATTTTCTTCAATTATGTATCTGGTTAATACCAACCTTGCACCAGTGATCAGCTTCTCCAGAAAGAAACATGAAGACCAGGATCTGCCATGGAGCGATGAATTCAAAGAGACACAGCAGGTTGTAGACCCATATTTGATACCGACCAAACTCTCCAAGTTCAATGAGCACATTATCAAACTTTCTTTCTTCTTCCTTCATCATCTCGTATACTAAATGAATCCTCGAAGTCACAGCCACCAAGTCTAGTCGCTTCAAAGATCACGCTGACAATGAGGATTGAGGTAGACTGATAGAACACGAATACTCTGGTACTCCGGTAGGCCGATATGCTGCACCCTTGAGTGGCATAGCAAGGTCTCGGTCACGATCGGGAATGCTTCACAACTTGCATCGAACATATTTTCGCTTCATGAACAAATAGAACGAGAACTGTTAGCGGAGTTCAGATTGATTGGGGGTGAAGGTTCATAATCTTCAAGGGTATATTTGATCAGGTGTGCTCTACATTGCGTTTTGCTGTCCATACGATCCTAGATATCTTACGACGTAAATTAAGAAGACATTTCGCTCTTTGTGCAGCAGCCTATCTAATCAGGCGATTCATGAGAAATCCCAAATATCAAAGGGTTTAATAACATCCCCATTAACCAGAAATTGAATACCCGACACCCATTTTGGCTACGCCACTATTTTGGACCTCGAGCGAGCGAACTTAGCTCATTCAAGGTTAAAGACTGCACTCTCAGCGAAACGAGACAAACAAAGTCGATCTAGACCAAGAAAAATATTTTTTCTCCTTCCAGATACGTACTTGACCCATGCAGTGAACTTGACTTGATAATATCCTTCAAGTTTAACATTGACTTTGAGAACCGAAGAATATATATTCTATTACGATTGATGAATCTAAACTCCATGAAAATATTCATGAAACTTAGAAGTAGGAATTAACAAAATATTGTTGATATTTAACTTTGGTATGACAATTGTTATAGATACCGTTGGTGCGGTTTGTCAGTGGTATCTCATTGGTTACAGAGCGAAATTAGGGAGAGGAATATTCGTGAGCCTTTAATTATGAGCATTTTCTTCATTTATTTGAGAAGGATACTTGCATTTAACACATAATCTTTTACTATAATGATAAAAAGGAATTGGTTTGAAATCAGTAATTATTGATGTGTCAATCAAATGTTGATATGTATACAAAATTTATCTGACGGACTTTGAATAGGACAAGATTATAGAAAAGGGAGCCCTACTTTACAATTTGTTTGAGTACCTGGCAGATGGGGTAAAAGTACATGCAGGGCTCTTTGAAAAACAGCATTTATGCTGATGAGGATCCATGGCAAAACTTTATCGTTATTATTATTATTATTATATTATAGAATTCACTCAACAGCACCCACAGAGGCCCTTCTTTAACATGCGACATACGACAGGGGCCTCCATGGTTTTATTTGTGTTAATTTTCTTTTTCTAAAATGACCATTATATTAATGAAAAGTACATCAAGGAAAAATTTTAGCATTCAATAACACGGTGAATTGTCGTGCAATAATTTAAAGCCCATCATTTATCCCAGATGGTAGAAAGAAACTGGTGATAAATCGTAACGGGGTTCACCACGACCTCGTGAAGACATAACGATATTGTCCGCAACCCAATAACTGTTTTTAGCAGCAGGCAACATTGTTTTTGTGTCAGTCCCATAGTTTTATACAAAAGAAGAGTAGTAAATTTGTCAAATTTCATAGCAATATGTCACACTTAAGCTATATGACTCTTTATCAAGTTAATCATGCCATCTGGCCCTGAACATCCTTCCTGAATATGTAGCATTTTCTCTCCTAAAAGTGTGTAATTTTGTTTGTTTTTATTTCCATAACAATACATTAGAAAGTTAAAAATAGACATGATAGCATAAATTTGGCAGATAGCCCATTTCAGTGATATAAGAAAGAAAGAAAGAGAAAGAGAGAGAGAGAGAGAGAGAGATAGAGAGGGAGAGATAGAGAGAGAGAGAGGGGGGGGGGGTAGCGACAACGAACAATGTAGAGGAAGATAACATGATTCAGTGTCACAAGTTGAACTTCAAGCAGTTCAAGTTCCAGGACAATTAATGTTCAATACATTCTTATTCTTAATGAATCATGGTAGGAGGTAACAGAGATAAGGATACAGTACAAAATATACAGTACATATGGCAGAGAGATTTAAAACAAATCCGCAATTAAAAAAAAAACAAACATAATGTTTTCATTGTGAATCCATGTAGTCGTCCATATAGGTATGTGACTGTGATATCCTGCATGCATCACATTAGTTGTTGCAGATCTCAATGTTCTTTAGTGTTTATGAGAATATGAAGGAATAAATGTACCTGTATAAAAAAAACAGATCAAATTAATAATTGACAAACATTGGTAGATCAGTCAAGAAATATTTCCGTGGACATGTCCATGTCCAAAACAAATGCTGACTAAAGCCTTTATGGCCGTTATGTCTCGTGAACCTTATTACTAGATATCAAGGGCGGTTTATTCAAAGAGGGGGGGGGGCAACAAAAAGGGCACCTTCTGGATAAAAAGGGGCACCTACAAAGGGAAACCTCAAAGCGAAAACATAATATTTTTTGACATAGGTATATACCCCTACATTGTGATTATGATTTCAATATTTGTTTCTCTCTTTACTTTGTCCAAGATTCTGCTTCGGCATCATACTTTTTTGTTGGGTATGATGGTCTGAATATTAATTTGCGAGAGAGCGGGGAAATAATACAACGATCGTACCATGTAGAATCGTTTGATTTGAGATAACGGTTCAAATGCAGAATGATCTACACTATAGTATTGTTTTAGTAGTATATAATATATATAGAAATAACATAGTTATAGGTCGATTGTAAAACGAGGGTGAAGACTCTGTCTCAGATTTATTTAATAATGTAATGTGTTTATTTGCATTCCCATTTGTATTTCCCTGCTTATGAAAGACGCCATGCACACATTAAAACATTGAAGCACTTTCTTGATAAATGATCTGGCAAGATGCCAGGATGGTATACAGCACTGTTTTGTTATGTCCTGAGTAAATGTTTGCATTCAAGTTTGAAGATAATACCCTAAGGCATTTAGGATGAAAACCATAGTACGAGTACATGTAGTTAGACTCGTGCATGTTATAAATGCCATAAGGAGGATATAGGAAAGTCTCAAACAAAATACACCTTAAGTGTTTTATTTGCATGTCAAAAGAGACATTCACCTCATTTGGATTTCATTTTCTCTTTGTTCGTTCAGCAATCAGCCTCTCTATCAGGTTAGTTTTTAAAACTGATTGATAGTGTGCATGCCATGTTTGAAATTTGTTTGGATGTCCATTCATTGGCGCATAAATGCACTTTGATATCACCTTTTATGATATGTAAACATACATTGCAAATTAAAGGAATATGCTGAGCAATATAAGTATATTCGTATGCACAGGCGCACCCACACCCCCCCCCCCCCCCCCATAAGAAAAAAAGGAGAAGAAAAAAGAAAATACATAAACGGGTATGGAGAAGTGTCTCTTGGGAGGAAAGATGAAATTAAAAAAAGAATATTTCAACTTGCAAAATTAGTCACGGTAGTACGGGCGTCTTAGACAAAGTAAAATAATTAACTAAATCGCAATGGGCCTTGAACTCAGTCGACCAAATATCTATATGTACTAAAGTAATTCAAAGTTCACAAACTTGTTAGTACATAAATATTTGGTCAACTGAGTTCAACACCCAACGAAATTAAGTTTATCATTATATAAAACACCGACAATAATAAATGAATTTGTTGTAGTTGAACCTGTCTGATAAAATGTTTGAGAAACAGTTAAGGTGGTGAAAAAAAACTGAAATTAAAAATTACATTACAAACGTGAGCCAGAGCTAATTTACTTATGGAGTGCAAAATTATTGTTATCTAATGCCTCTCATTCACATCAGTAAGTGCACGTACTGGAATTACAGTAGAGATCTGTAGCCATAATAAAAATGCAATGAAAACTTTAAAGAGCTACTCATTTGTTAATTCTTTAAAAAAAGGAGAAAGTTTCGAAAACTAATTTGATGATGGTCGAGCTTTATATTTTCAAGAAATTGAGGAAAAACGAAATTAAGTGAAACATTTGACAAATATTAAACTATAAACTGGGATTATAAAATAAATCACACATGTGTGCTAGATGGTAGGCCCCACGATTATGATAAAACATCACTATCTGCATACCACCACTTTTCCTTTAATACGTTAAACCTATTCTGGTATGACTGTCAAAATTCTAACGACCATGTCGCAAAACATATTTACGGATAAATATTAGCAATCTTTCCATTTGCTCAATACAAACGAAATATTGTGAAATATAATATTTTCGGTTAGGTCAAAGTACTCACAATTAGTTGAACTTGTTTGTTTTTCGTATTTTCTTCAGACTCTTCAAATAAGATTAAAGCAAAGTAAATTATAAAAGCGTAATTCAATCGCTGAATTGGTAAAATATACTCTTTCAAAAAATTCAGTTTGTATTTATGTTAACAAATTTGATTTTCAGCTTCAAAATACAATTATTTGTTTCGTAATGCTATCTGAACCACAAGCATTAGAAACGTACCTATATTATGGTGGCAGTATAGTAGTAAAACATATCAGTAGTACTTAAACGTACACACGAACAATTACACACACATACATGTGGGTGTGTGTGCTTGCGTGTGGTGTGTGTGCATGTAATTACATTGTCTAAAGTGGGAGCTGCTTAGTGTTAATTAAGATTTGTTTTCCTCTCCACTGTGAGAGTGTAACCCTATTTTGCGGCCTAGTTAACTTACTTATTTAGTAAATTTTTCTTGAGTTGAGAATGTTAGCAGACACCCATTGAGTAAGTAGTGCGTGTGTGCGTGTGTGTGTAAAAATGAGGGGACAGAATCACTTCGTTTATATACTCAAAATAACACCAGTCTAAAATTTCATCGAACTTAAGGTTTATCAATTTTGTGGTTTTCATTGAATCCAATGCAAGATACACTTCAGCATGGGTTTAGCCCTAAGAGGATGAAAGGGTGAGAGCTGCGATTCTTTTATGAGATTAGTATGTGATAAAATGGTAATGAAAGGAAATGGTCGAATATGTTACAAAGCACATCGGGCAACTAATTTTGAAAACATCATTCACAAATTGAACATTACATTCAAGAGATATTGGCGAAGGCGGTGTCTGCTTGTCTCCCTCTAGCTCCCTCTGAAAGAGTAGCATAATGAGACAGAAGATGGATATTAATGCTGCTCTTCTTGAAAAAAAGTACATCCAAAAACATTTGCTAACTTTGCCTACAGGTTTACCACTTAATGTTATCCCATCTCCTCTCTTGATCATAGGGACACCGAGAACACTGTTCAATGCTAGAGGGTTGGTCACTTTGTTGGCACGTGCCATTTTACTG